GCATCCAAGGTCTAAATAATAACATCGTTTCTCGCATCATCGTCAAGTATATCGGCCAGCCATTCTCGTTTTTCGTGTCCTTTAACGTACACGATAGGAAATGCTCCATCTTCCTCTTCCGTCGCACCCACCACAGCTCTCGTAATCAAACGCCTAGCGAAGCTGTATGGAACGTTTCCATACTCCCATTGAAGTCCATGGTGATGTCCGATTAGCCATGAAACTTGGCATCTCTCAAATTTTGTACGACTGCTGTCGATCGTCAAAGTCTCAATCTTTATATATTTTTGACATTGGAGGGAATATTTGCTGATCTAGGTAATTTTACGAACTACGTTGGTCAATGGGCAATATTCGACAACGCGATCGTGCAAGATGAGACAATAGGAGGTAGTATTTGCAGGTATATCCTCCTTGCACTCAAACTCTAATCTCACGTCCACGGTAGAATTTTTGACAGACTCGTTTTGTCGCGAGCAATCGATAACCGCAAGAGGACCGCAATGTAAAAATTGTGAAATGTTTAATAGCACATCATCATTATCACATCCGTAATAAGATTTGCGAAAACGAGAGTACATATCGAACAAGAGGGCGAATCTATTTTTATCGAAATCTAAATTCAAATCATCGTAGGGATAAAATTCCGAGTTTAGATAGAGTTTAACGTTGGTCAATTTGCAGTCGTCGAATGTAGTAATATCTTTTGACACAGCATTTTTTCTGATCGTGCAAGATGAGACAATAGGCGGTGGTATTTGCCGGTATATCCTCCTTGCACTCAAACTCTAATCTTACGTTCACGGTGGAATTTTTGACAGACTCGTTTTGTCGCGAGCAATCGATAACCGCGAGAGGACCGCAATGTAAAAATTTTGGAATGTTTAATAGCACATCATCATTATCATATCCGTAATAAGATTTGCGAAAACGAGAGTACATATCGAACAAGAGGGCGAATCTATTTTTATCGAAATCTAAATTTAAATCATCGTAGGGATAAAATTCCGAGTTTAGATAGAGTTTAACGTTGGTCAATTTGCATTCGTCGAATGCAGTAATATCTTTTGACAAAGAATTTTTTTTGCCAGTCTGCAGCGCAAAGATCACGTATCGCGGCTTCTCCAGCTGAGAGGCGGCTTTCACGGTCCACGAATGCTTGGTCGTATTATGCAATAGAGGAAATTCGTATAGATCCCAAGAGCGAAAACTCATATTCAAGTATCGCCCGCTTTCCAACGCGCGTAGCAAGGATAGTTTATTGACCTTGCTCAATATACATAGGGATACGCCATTGTATCTTGAACAATTCGATATCAGCTTCAGTATTGTCGATAACGTAGTCAATTCATTTGCAGGCCATTTCGTCGTGTTAGAGTCTTCTGTAAATAATGAAATAGTAAATAATACTTCGTGTATGTAAATATAATATATACAAGAATATTTAAACGAACCAAGTAACTTACGACGGAAGATCCTTGAAGAAAGTATCTGTGATGCGATCTAAAAAAGAAAAATGTATTATTTAATCAGAATTTGTTATTTAAATTTTTAAAGTCTCAAAATTCATGAACGGTGATAGATTCGAGGTCATCGTTAGTCCTGTTTTGTTTATCTCGTCGAAATATACGAAAAAAGTCCTTTGATCCAACCTCGTATCTCTCATCGTTCAAGAGTTACGGGAGTTTGAAGAAAAAAATTTGCTCGACCATTCGACTGTGTCTCCTTACCTTTATGCAAGTCCGTATGTTCCGATAGCCGGACGTACAATGAGCCAAAAGATAGTGCTCGCTCGACCATGTACTCTGTAAGGTTATCGGAAGGTTAAATCACGAGCTCCGATTACCCATAATGCAATGCAAAGAAGATTTAGCTATTCGAAAAATGTATATTTATTAAATAAACTGCGGTAGTTTTATCAAAGTCAGAGAGAGGGGTGGAGCCCGCCTTCCCGCAGAGGGGGCTCCACTTCCGGAAGATATAATCTAACTCAAACCCAATTTTTGTTGCGATTCACCACGTTGCGAATTTCGATTTCAAACAAATTGTCAACCTCCTACGCCTAATAATGTTTCAATCGCATATTATCTTATATATTTGTTTCAATCGCATACTATCTTATATATTTTGAATTTCAATTTCGTGCACTCTAGGAAAAAGTAAGCACGTAAGTAAGATAAGGACTTGTCATTTGCATTTAAATTTTAACACATTTAATAATTAACAAGTAATTGTTAGAAAAATATATAATTGAGGAAATTTGTTATAACACACAACAGAAAAGTGCTAATATTATAGAAATAGATGGTGAGTACAATATGTTTTATTATATACGATTAATATCATGATAATCGCACAAATAATCTTTGCTTAATTATTACAGATGAAGTGAACAAACTTTGTGAGAAACGATTAAAAAGTATTTTGTTCTCACTAGTAATATATAATGAAATTGCTGAACAAACACAGATTTTCTCATGTTAGTGGATAAATGAAAATATTTAGGATAAATAAATAATTTCTCTATATAATACTACAATAGAACAGGTTTTTGTTTTATTTCGCCAATCATTTTACAAAAGCAATATATATTCCGAGATGATGTCTTCATTATAAAATATTATACAGGCGGTACATAAATATAGTGAACTAATGCCATAACATCGTGTAATAATGATAATAATATCGTCTGATAATGATAATAATGTAATTATAAAACATGAACAGGCAGTATATAAATATAGCAAAGTAATACCATAATATAAATAGTGTAATAATAATAACAATATTATAATCTGATTATAAACAAAATTGTGTAAATTGATTAAAAAGTGAATCAGATGTGTCTTTGTTTGTGCTGTTTTGATTAGGAATAATATTGAATAAGTTTTTTAATTTTGCTACGCGAAGAAACCATACGTGTTACGCACATGTGGATAATATCTCTTAGTTAGTTTCAGAGAAGGATGAAATCGATGTTGTCTGGGACCAGCTCGTGAGACCAGCAGTTCCAAATTGTAGGCCAGTGGGCAATAACTTAACGTTACGCTTCTTAAGAGCATAATCAAGATCCTTATTATTCCGGTGTTACAACCATGGATACTTGTGAAGGATACGCTACGAGACCAATCAGTCCATTTTCCTATCGGGTCAAGATTGACATCTCTATTTATTAAAGCCTGAAAATATAAATTCAACATCATTATATATATGTGTATGTGTGGGTGTGTGTGTGTGTGTTTTCTCATAAAAAAAGTACTTCGTAAACATTGATTTACTATACAGGGTGGTCCATTTTAAAAGAGCCAGTCAAATATCTCGAAAAATATGGAAGAGTCTGAAACGTTATTCCGTATCTTCCATATTTTTCGAGATATTTGACTGGCTCTTTTAAAATGGACCACCCTGTATAATTGAATAAGTACAATCTGTTTAACTACATATGCTGTTAAATATAACGAAAAAAATGTTATATTAACAATATTCATCTCGAATTGGATTAAGTTTAGTTACTTTATTAACAGTATTAACCACGATATACATATGTTTTTATTTTAATAACCGACATTTTTTTCAATAGAAAATACTGTTATTGACAATCGATTGGATTATTTTTAATTACATTGAGATAACATTACTTCTTTTTGTTTATTGATTACTTATATAATATATAATAATGATTCACAAGAGTTATTGATTGATTCGCATATTATTTTTCTTATTACGCAAATATTTTTTCTTTTCAATTTACATAATTTTAGCCCTTTGTTATTACATAAATATGCACAATACACTTTGCTAATCCATGCAACAATATGCAAGATGCAGATGATAAAATTAAGCAGATTTTACAATAACTCATTCGTTAGTATGCTACACATTTTTTATATGATCGTTTACATCTTACAAAATATTTTTTATACTTTTTATATCTTTTATGACATTATATACAGGGTGTTTAAAAAAAGGCTTCAAGACTTAGTACATATTTGATTATGCGCGGTAAATGAACGAGTATCTTACCATATTATTATTTTATTATTAACGATGTGTATAAACGTTGTATAGTTTATTGCGTCTGCCAAGTTCTCGCCCAGATCAGGAACACAAAGAGCACGCCAAGAAGGATGGCCGACCAGGCCTTTTGTTACTTTTGCTTCCGCAGAATCCACAGCCGAGCCCGACGGATATTAATCCACACAAGGTCAACAGACCTCATTAAACACTAAATACTAAACAGTTCGATAGACTGATCACTTTTCTTAAAAACACGGAGAAACAATGGACTAATAATACACCTTACTCGCTTTCCCGCCAACAAATGCCTGCTGAATCTTGAATCATCTCATGTTTCATGACTCGTTATCGTTAGGCGAACACGCATTATCGCAATGCCAGCGCCATCTGGAGTCACCAGACGCTATTGATATCTCGTAATGGCTACGTTCCGATATTCACTGCCAGTACTAAAAATCTATACGAATATCGAAACGCAGCCAATATTAGATATCATTATATAAATAATTTTTACACTACAAAATAAAGATCTAATTATGCGTATCCATACGGTGTCAACCCGATTTTCTTTCTCATCTATAATCAAAGCCATTATTCATATATATGTACAATTTTAATAAAATACTTACAATTTTAATATTTACGTTTTATTACGAGTAATATATATATATATTGGGTTGAGTAAAAAGTCATTGCGTATTTTTTGTATGTTTTTCAAATTCATTTATTTATATAAAGAACAAAGATCAATCAATGATATATTTTCCGTTTTGTTCGATGACCTTTTGCCATCTTTCGGTGAGCTTCATAATTCCCCGTTCGTAGAAGGACCTGTCTTTATTGGCGAAAAACTGAACAAGGTGATGATTTACCGCCTCATCTGAATTTAACGTTATTCCACGCAGGGAGTTTTGAAGAGAGCGAAACAAGTGGAAGTCTGACGGCGCAAGGTCAGGCGAGTATGCTGGGTGGGGCAACACATCCTATCCAAGCTCCAATAATTTTTGACGGGTTGCCAAAGATGTGTGTGGTCTCGCGTTGTCTTGATGGAACACAACTCCTTTACGATTGACGAGCTCCGGACGTTTCTGGATGACAGATTCGTTCAAACTGTCCAATTGCCGACAGTACACATCCGAATTGGTTGTTCGGTTCCTTAGTAGGAACTCAAAAAACACCACACCCCAAAAACAATCCCACCACACTGAGAGCATAACCTTCCTCTGATGAAGTTCTGCTTTTGAAGTCATTTGAGGCGAATCATCACGTCGGGACCAAGACCGTTTGCGTTCCACATTGTTGTAAACAATCCACTTCTCATCACCAGTTATCATTCGTTTCAAAAAAGGATCGTTTTCTTCACGTTTCATGAGCATATCGCAGATGTTTATACGCGCCGTCAAATGAACTTCTTTGAGTTCATGAGGAATCCAAATATCGAGCTTGCTTACGTATCCCAGCTTCTTTAGGTGGACGTGAACACTTTTTTGACTGATCTTCAATGTTTCTGCAATCTCTCGTGTCGTGTAACGTGGGTTTGACTTGATCAATGCCTTTATTTTGTCGTCATCAACCTCGGTGGGCCTTCCTGACCGAGGAGCATCTTTGAGATCAAAATCACCAGCGCGGAATTTCTTGAACCAGTTTTGGCACTGACGTTCTTGTAGAGCATCGTCACCGTAAACTTTACGCAATTTTTCACAAGCTTGACGCGCGTTCTTCCCTTTACGGAAGTAAAACAGTAAAATATGTCGAAAATGCACAGTTTGGTCTTCCATCTTCAACTTGTTGTAAAATCTCCAAAACTCAACCAAATCGCTCAATTTTTTTTTAGAATGAAGCTTAAACCGTCAGCTGTTAAACGATATATGACAAACATATATGTGAATGACTCTAGTACTGCCAAAACTGAACTAATGCCATCTGTTGCAAAAATACGCAATGACTTTTTACTCAACCCAATATATAAAATTGCGTGAAACTTTGATGTCCAAGACCGGACATCCTATGGACGTCCAAATATTGGCTACTAACGGATGTCTCAAATCGGATGTACAATGGACATACATTTCATGTCCATGGACGTACATTTCATGTCCATGGACGTGAAGACGTAAAATGGACATAAAATGAACGTTCATAGAACGTCCTGTGCTATCTGGGTATCTTTGGATAAAAAATTATTTAATATTGCATTCAAAACTAAGCATCATAATTTATTGCATTATAGTAAAATCATTAAAAAATATGGGCTATTAAATCTTATGTCATCTATTCGTTTTGAGGCAAAACGGTAAATTTCTATATTAGCGTCGCCACCTCCGATTTGCCTCAAAATTTACATAGAGCTTTCTTTAGGTCTACAATTAACAGTTATGATATTTTTAAACCGGGCAAACAATATGTTGTCCTTGAAGAAAATTATCAAGTGGTCGCGTGAAGCGCTATTCGCATTTAGGAATATTTTGATTTTTTGACACTTTTGATAAGACATATTCTGTGCATTTAGACATTATATTAGAATGTAATTTTCTGACGCCATATACATTTAATCTGAACGTGGTAAACCTTGATATTAGCGCCGATCTCACTTTGTTTCGCATTGTAAAATATGGGGTGAACCTCGTTCTGTATTGTACAATACATGCGTGGATGCAGTGAGTTCCGCCCCCCCCCCTACGGGGGGGTACATAAAATGTTTGCATGCTATGTTCAGCATATTTGTCTATCTGGGTAGTTCCTGAGGAATTTTAATCAAAAGTTTATTAGACGTAAAACTCCGGATAAGCTACTTGATAGCGCCGCGGCCCCTGTACGTAGGCAAAACTGTTGACAAGCCGGAAGGAATTTCTTTATATGCTTGGCGTCGTTTGATTCATGGAGTGCGTGGGCGGGGGAGGGGCGGAGCCATTCCCCCTGCACCGCCACCACTTAAAACTGAAAATAGGTTTGAGTTAGATTATATTTTCCGGAAGTGGAGCCCCCCCCGTAGGGGGGCGGAACATACTGGATCCACGCATATACTTTACAACGCGAAGCGAGATCCAACCCCACAATTGTTGTGTGGATGGAAAAGTGTATGCGTGGACGCAGTGGGTTCCGCCCCTTCTACGGGGGGACTCCACTTCCGGAAGGTATAACCTAACCCAAACCTATTTCTGATTTAAAACTAAAATTTGGGTTTGGGTTAGATTATATCTTCCGGAAGTGGAACCCCCCCGTAGGGGAGGGGCGGAACTCACTTCGTCCACGCATATATTTTACAATGCGAAACGAAGTGAGATCGGCGCTAATATCAAGGTTTACCACGTTCAGATTAAATGTATATGGCGTTAGAAAATTACATTCTAATATAATGTCTAAATGCACAGAATATGTCTTATCAAAAGTGTCAAAAAATCAAAATATTCCTAAATGCGAATAGCGCTTCACGCGACCACTTGATAATTTTCTTCAAGGACAACATATTGTTTGCCCGTTTTAAAAATATCATAACTGTTAATTGTAGACCTAAAGAAAGCTCTATGTAAATTTTGAGGCAAATCGTAGGTGGCGACGCTAATATAGAAATTTACCGGCAAAACATAAACAATTGAAAAGTTGCGCTAAAGCTACTACTTCACGAGTAAATCTTTCCTACACGCTTGCTCGCTTGCTCTCATTAGGACTTTATTATCGATTTGTTTTCGTTGATGGATTTTCAAATCGTTTTCAACATGATACTAAAATATCCAAATTTTCAAATTTTCTTGATTATCTTGATATAAAAAATGTTTTACATCCAGAAATAATAAACGATAATTTTATAGACTGTGTATCTTGGATTATAATAAACGAAACACGTTATGAGATTAACAATATTATATGTATTGCGACGACTTTTACTTCCGTCTCGCGACCGAACGATAGACGCGTCCGCCATTTCAATCTCTCCGTCGCGCGGATGGACGTTGCGCCGACGAACAGGAGCGAATTCACCGAACGGGAGATGCGGGATAGTCGTTGACAAAAACCGAGAACAGAGAAAAAGGACAACGCGCCGAGTAAGAACGGGATGGTAAAGGTTCCGCGCGTACCGTGACAAAATCCAAAAGATAATTGCGAGAATCGAACTTGGGCGCCAGATACGGTCTTTCACGCATCAATCCGCGAAACGCACGAAATAAGGGCGAGATAGATGTGAAAGAAATTGTTAGAAGTCGCCACGGGCTGGCTAGCTCGCCTAACGGTAGAGGGGCAGGCGGGCAGGGCAAGTGTCGGATTAACGCGACGATTAATTATGCAAGAGGCGACAACTAGTAGAGCGACAAACACAAGCAAAAATTAAAGGCTCGAGATAATGAACAAAGATAACAACGAGTTTATTATAATAGACGGAGCGAGGCCCCGTGAAAGTCAAAAATGGTAATGACGACCGCGCGGATATTCGGCGGCGGTGACGATGCGAGTACGAGACTGGGTGTTAGAAACGGGGCGCGAAACCCCGGAAGATATACGCCGATGTCGGCCCGTTATATCGGCCGTAATCCTTTTCTCGGCGTTAAATACGCCTCGCACCGCGGAAATGACGAGTATTAGGTTTTGCCTGGAATTCGGGCGATATGATGTAACCCAATCCGATTCTCGATACCAAGCAGGGGCGGCGACCGGATCGCCCGCTATCGTTACTTAAAAACTAGTACGCAACTTACAACTAACAAACAATTCGCGAAACACGCACCTTCGTTACTTCCGGGCGAACGTGACACACGTACACGACGCT